AAAATTTAATTGAACTTCTGATGAGATTGATGGAGAAGGGCAAAGATTTAACATAGTAGGCCTAAAACTGCTGTTATTCTTAGAAAGATTGGCTTGCAAAGTGGGCCCTTGATTGGCACCTGGAAACTTGGATTCAGGAAGGTTCTCTTTATTTTCAAAACTGACAAAGTTAGGCAAACAATATTGTTTGTGCTGAATACCTGCTTTACTACTGGAAGTCTGGAACTTTGGTTAGTGTCAGGCAGAGGGCCTATGTGACCCATTCCCAATAAAAGCCCTGGGCACTGAGGATCTAATGAATTTCCTTGGTAGACAATATTTCGCTCGTATTGTCACAGTCCACTGCTGGAGGAAATAAATGTGTCCTGCGTCTCCACTGGAAAAGGACTCTTGGAAGCTTGTGCCAGGTTTGTCTGGAATTCAATCTGTGTGCTTTTTCCCTTTGCTGATTTTGCTTTATATCCTTTCACCGTAATAAATCACAGCCATGAGTACAACTATATGCTGAGGACAGTGAGTCCTCCTAACAAGTCATCAAATGTGAGGGTGGTCTTTGGGACTCCTAACACAGATTATAGATAGATGATTGATAAATATGCAGAAATATACAGAAAGAAGAAAAAAACACTTTAAAATCAGGTTTACATTCACCAGATAAATGAATTTGCATATCTAATCACTGTATTTCTTATTGCCAAAAAAGAAATTTATACTCAGATTTTTTCAATTTAATATATGCATTTACATACCTTTAGTAACTTGATTTCTCGCATTGCAATCTTTTTAACCATTTTGTCATCGTCACTTTCTAAGAACTTCTTGATGGCCACAATTCTTCCAGTATCTTTATTCCTACACTTCATCACCATTCCATAACTCCCTTCTCCAACCAATCCCAGGTTCTCATATTTTTCCATTTTAATTTAAAGCTAGTAGAAACTTTTTGCTGTGGAAGCCAAAACATAGAATCAACAATGTTGAGTGTGTTATTTTCCCTCACCTTTCCGGCAAATTAATTCTTCCCTGCTTGTTTTCCATATTAGAGTAGTCACTGTGTTCATGGCTGTTCTGTGTTAATTCACAATTTCCTAGTGTTTCTACATGTAAGCTATGTTTTCAAAATGATCACACACATTTCGTAATAGACAAGGCAAATGGAATTGAAACCATTAACTTTAAATTACTAAATGCCATGTTAATTAAATTCCATGCATTTTTAATTCTAATAAAGCAATATTTGAGCTATCATGCATAACAATTACAACTCACTTTAAAAAGCACAATTCCAGCCTGGGCAACATAGCAAGACCCTGTCTCTACAAAAAACATTTTTAAATTAGCTGGGTGTGGTGGTGTATGCCTGTGGTCTCAGCTACTTGGGAGGCTGAGGTGGAAGAATCACTTGAGCCCAGGAGGTTAAGACTGCAGTGAGCCATGATGGCACTGCACACCAGCCTGAAAAATGAAACAAGAATCTGTCTAAAAAAAAACACAGGTTGTGCATGGCAGCTCATGCCTGTAATCCCAACACTTTGGGAGGCCGAGGCAGGCAGATTACCTGAGGTCAGGAGTCTGACCAGCCCGGCCAACATGGTGAAACCCCATCTCTACTAAAATCACAAAAATTAGCCAGGCATGATGGTGCACGCCTATAGTCCCAGCTACCAGAGAGGCTGAGGCAAAAGAATCATTTGGACCCTGGAGGCAGAGGTTGCAGTGAGCCGAGATCACACCACTGCACTCAAGCCTGGGCAACAGAGTGAGACTCTGTCTCAGAAAAACAAACAAACAAACAAACAAAAACACAATTCCTTTTCACTGAAAGGTGCATAACTGAATTTGGTGGGGGTCGTGTGTTTGTTTTGGGGATGGAGTCTCGTTCCGTTGCCCAGGCAGGAGTGCAGTGGTGTGATCTCGGCTCACTGCAACCTCCGCCTCCCAGGTTCAAGCGATTCTCCTGCCTCAGCCTCCCAAGTAGCTGGGACTACAGGCTCGCGCCACCACGCTCGGCTAATTTTTGTATTTTTTTTCACCCCTCTCCGCCCCCAATTTTTGTATTTTTAGTAGACAGGGTTTCATCACGTTGGCCAGGATGGTCTGGATCTCTTGACCTTGTGATTCACTCACCTCGGCCTCCCAAAGTGCTGGGATTACAAGCACTCCTGACCTCAAGTGATCCTTGAGGTCCTTGGCCTCCAGAAGTGCTGGAATTACATGCATGAGCCACAGCTCCAGGCCTGAATTTGGTTTTCACGAAGATCAACTTTTTCTGCGACATTGGGTTTAGATCAACGTTGGAAATATTTATGCACCTTCCACTTAACTGGAAAAAATAATTTGATCCAAAAAAAAATTAGCACAGGCCGGGCGCAGTGGCTCACACAATCCCAGCACTTTGGGAGGCCAAAGTGGGCAAATCCGAAGTCAGGAGTTCAAGACCAGCCTGGCCAACATGGTGAAACTCCGTCTCTACTAAAAATACAAAAATCAGCTGGGCGTGGTGGTGTGCATCTGTAATCTCAGCTACTCGGGAGCCTGAGGCATAAGAATCACTTGAACCCGGGAGGGGAAGGTTGCAGTGAGTTGACACCATGCCACTGCACTCCAGCGTGGGCGACAGAGCGAGACTCCGTCTCAAAAAAAATTAACACAGAGCATCTTTGATAAAATATTTTTCTTTACTTTTCTTACAATACTAATTACTATATTGAACTTAGAAAATAAGAGTAATGACATCAGTATATAAGCAGATTTTTTAAATGAAATGAAATATTGGTAGTACCAAATACAGTAAAAGTATTTCAAAAATCCTGTTAATGATTACTTACTATAAGTATAATTTGAATTTGTGTTTGAAATTTTTTACTCACAATATATGACATTTTCTGAATAAAGGCAATCCTAAGGCAATCTTTCTTGTTTTACCAACGATTGATGAAGGTCCAGCAATCATTGTACGAATGTTTTGGTACAGAAAAAAAAATTACTTCAGTCCAAATACAGATAGATTTTAACTCATAAGGTTTGATTGTCGTGATATATATGTTATTAAACTATAATTCCAAAGTTAACTTTATTTTTAAAATATGATTTTGAAGCCGGGCACGGTGGCTCAAGCCTGTAATCCCAGCACTTTGGGAGGCCGAGGCGGGTGGATCACAAGGTCAAGAGATCGAGACCATCCTGGTCAACATGGTGAAACCCCGTC